CTTCAAATAACTCTGCGGCAAATATCGCGACCTAAAAATAAAAAGACAAGAACGCCCCCCCCCCTCAAAAAAAAAGACCAAGCTTGATTTAAAAAGAGATTTTGACTGAACTCGTTAAATCACCCTTCAATCAGTTCGAGTTGTTCACTCGCTATCTGGATACGACAACGTCTGCGCGAACCAACCTATCAAACATTTAACCAAAACAAAGAACCTAATTATTATTGCGGTAAGCCAATGTCGGCTTGCCTTTCGACACACCTTGCTCTGGGCTGCGTTTAAAATCAGAGACCCGCGGGCTGACTCACCAGTACGACTTTGCCGCGCAGGTCCCGCTGAGGACGTGGTCGGAGAACGACGACAACGGCGACCAGAACGACGGCTACGGCGACGACCAGCACAACTTCCATCTCGACGCCGTGAGGAGGGGCTCGGTGGCGCGGCACCTGCGGCAGTGGCAGGTAAGCGGGTTGCTCCGTTGACGGCGGCCTCGGTCTCCCTTGGGGTGCTGGTCGTCCAGACGCGCCCGCGAGGGCGCCGACGTCACGCTCCTTAAACCCTCCCGCGTGGTTCCAACGAGCGCCGGTATGCACTGGGCCGGCTCACGTCCTACTGACTGTCGCCCCCGGGGCGAGCGGACGGCGTGAAGCAGTGTTCTCGAAATGTTAATCAACGTTTCTCGGGTTGGCCAGGACGCAGTAGGGTGTCGCCCAGCCGGCCCGTCTCCCGCGTAACTTTCGAATGAAAACAGCTGCACTTGGGTGGCGTCGGTAGACGCGCAAGACGCACCCGATAGAGCAGTCGATCCGGATCATGGCCACAGCATCGAATAACCCTTCCCCGCGATCGCACTGATAATCTAAGTTGCCCTTCCCCATTGGAAAGCACACACGGCGGTCCGGCGTCGGCAAACCCGCACGCACGGTTTTAAGACGCTGGCGAAACCACGCATTTTGTGTGTTTTTTTAGTAGGGTAGGAAACCCTGGAAAGTTTCCGGAAAATTTCGGGAAAAGTTTCGGAAAAAACGGTTAATTTTGGGAAGAAATGGAAAAATTTCCAGACTTTGAAAGTTTGCCGTTATTTTCTCGAAATTTTGTGGAAAATTTTGGAAATATCCAACCCTATTTTTGAGACCTTTACCTTTGGACAGAGGACGTTTCCCTCTGTCAGAAAAATGAAAAGTTGTAGCAGCCAGCGTATGGTTACTTCAGACACAACCATAAAATATGGTTGAGTCAACAACAGCACAGGTGTATCAACCAACAATACGGTTTTCACCACTGGCGGGATCGTTCGTTGTCACAACCACATTTTATGGTTCTCCACGAGAGAACCATGAGACTGTTCCTACCACTTTTTAGTTTTCTGGGTGCACTGTGGAGGAAGGAGTTGCACGCATGCAGGGGATTTGCACACTTGCAGATATCCAACTTGCATTTGCATATTTACAAGTGTCAAGCAGTTTACGATTAGTTTATCAGTATGGGTAGACAACTTTTTATTTTTCACAGCATTTTGCGTCAACTTGTGTCTGTGAATAGAAACGTATGTCAATGTTTCGTTTTCCCAGGGTTTTCCGTCGTTTTCTCCTAGTTTTCCCTCAGTTTTATAAAGGCTTCTGCCTCGGATGCTATCCCTATCGATTTCCGGTTTGGGTTCTACCTTGATTTCTCCCTCAATTTTACCTCTGTCTGACCTGGTTTACCTAAATTTTGCTCGCGAGCTGCGTACGACGGGTGCGACGCAGTGGTGGCTCTTTGGCGGGTGAGAACATGCAGTCAGCGCGGAGTGCTTCTCTGCGGACGCCGCGGGGCAGACTGATACCCTTCAGCAAAGAGAGTCCTCTGCCCTCGGCCGTCATTTGAGGAGGACTGCGTGCGTTATGCGCTGTTTAACCTAGTTCAGAGAGAGAGAGAGAGAAAGAGGGAGGGAGAGAATATATTTTGGGAGTAGTTCAGGTACTCTTGGTCAAGGCCGAACAAAACTATCATTAGCCTGGTCTAGGACGAGCCGCAGGTGCTGCTTTTTTTGCTGGCGGTGGTCCCCCCCCCCCCCAAATTGGGCATGTGTGGCGCGAAGGAGTCAGGGAGAGAGTCGCTGCTGAGCTGCTGGTCGTAGAGCTGCGCATCGGTCGTCGGTGAGGGCGGGCGCGCGTCAGGCGCAGTATTTAAGAATCGCGGACAGGGCGCGGCATCTCTCTCTGTCTCTCTCCCTCCCTCTCCGTCTGGCTTGACAGACGCATTATTCCGGTCCATGAAAATCGTCAGCAGCTCATTTCAATATCAGTATTTTTTCTATTAATTGCTGAATCGCCGCGTCAGACGACGTTCCGCCGTGCGCCTCCGGAGCACTACTGCAAAACAAAACAAGTTGGGTGGGCCGCGCGCTCTGTGACGTCCGGTGGGTTAACAAAAACAAAAATCTGTCTCCGCCATGTGTTGCCCAAAAAGAAACGATGTCTCGGTGCTTTTGGGTCAATTTCCAACCAAATAAGCAAGCAGACTGGGTTGGAAACTGACTATCCGATCCGATCGGACAGGTTTTCATACCGGCAGGACCGTGTGGGAGGTACGCGATCTGCCTCCGAACAAAGAGAGTTTTCGCGTCGGTGAATGTTGTGACTTTTCCTCTTTCAGTATAAGTTGACTGGTACACCCGGGTGGTTCGCACGCCGGTCTGACAACTGTCACTGAAGTTTCCCTCAACCAATAAGGTATATATCCCCGGGATCCCGCGTGTTTCTGTTGTTTTTTTCGCCCCAAAAACAATGTCTGCTGTTTTAAAAGTAAAAACGGAGAACTTTAAAGAACTCCCATTCATGAGCAAAACTTATCAGATCACACTTTCGATTTTAAGGGAGCTTGTCAAAAAATAAAGGGAAATCCGGGAAATCCAACATTTTTTTTGTTAAGACTTTCTCGAAAATTGAGGAGCTTTATCACAATAAATGAGTTCTTCAAAGTTTTCTCTATTCCCTCAACCGCCCCCCCCCCAAAAAAAAAACTACATTGTTTTTACGGTGTTTCGGCCTTCTGCAGTAACCACATCACGCGTCTTTTGCGCGTAATAATACTTGTGTAATGAGGTGTACGACAGACTATGCTAAGTGTTTCTCCCTGGGTGAATCTCTAGCTGACCGGCTGCTCATGTTGCCAGCAGACCGAACACTAATCAACGTATGGAATGCACATACGGAATCATTTTGCAAGACCCACTTCACGCCAACTGTCGTCAGCTGCGATTGGCTAGCCATCATCTGCCTCGGGTCCTCGTTGTTTTAATGCCTTATTCGATTTTATTTATGTCCTGTTGTGTCTCTCGCGATTCCGCGGCTTTTTGGCAACGTGTCAGAAGTTAATTGATCTGGGTTGGCTGCTGCTCTATGACGCATGTCGCACGCGCGCTGGAGGGTGGCCGTCGAGGGGTCGACGACTGGGGTGTCCTGTGTCCCGCACTGACAGTGCGACAGTGCTCCGGATATGCTCCGGATAATGTACTCCGGATAATGTACTCCGGATAATGCACTCCGGATAATGTACTCCGGATAATGTACTCCGGATAATGTACTCCGG